CCCCGCCTTGTCGGTCATCTTGAGGCAGGCAATGATGTGGAAGTGATTTTTCCAAAACTCTTTGAGACTCATTGGTCCATTCAGTCACCTGAAAACAATTCTCGAAGAGTGCTTTAGTGTAGAGCTTCTTTAAGTTAGAAATAACTTGCTGGTCCATTCGCTGAAGTAGCGGAGTGGTGTTGGGAGGCAGAAACTGGATCTCGATTAACTTAAATTCATCAGGGAGGTCATCTTGTAGGCCTGGAGGATTCATGTAAATATATCACAATATAATATAACACAAGATTGAGAAAATGTGTGATCACAAGCGACAATGCTACTCGAAAGAGTGCTAAACACTGATGTAACATGCGTAAAATCCGGGATCCCCCCCCCCCCCCCTTCCTTGCCACTCGTTATGTGAAACGTCACTCGTTAAGCGAGTCATTCTTTTACAATTTGTTTTGCTCGTTATGCGAATTACTCGTTATGAGAGGTGCTACTGTATTGTCTTCAGAATATCTCCTTTGTCCAGTACAAGTGTTCTCATAGTTATCAGTTATGTAGCTAGAAAATTCGCTTTCGATCAATCGGACTTCTGCATTTAGTCCATTTTGAACCTTCTGGGTAAAGACTGAAAATCTGACACAATTCCTCTGGTAACTTTTTTTGTTGTTGCTATCCAAATCAGTCCAAATCAGAGCTGCAGTGATTGCCTGCACCCTTGTGCTTGAAATTGTGTGTGTGTGGGGGGTTCACATTTTATTCTGCCACAATCTTCCCCCTTTTTCTAGCGGAAATTCCCCAGCCACATTTTACACCCTTGAAGAACAGAACCAAGTCATCATCTAGCCCAGCCTCTTCATTAATCAGTTGTACTAATTCTGCCATACTGCTACATCACTCTCTACATTTTTACTAATGTGATAATGTTAAGCTAAGCCAATGACAACAGGCAAAGAGAAATGGGAAGCTTTTTTAAAGAGATTTATATTCCTAACTGATCATAATGATAGGGAGCTTAGAAATTCAGTTAGAGCTAATCCATCCAGTACTATAAATGATAATTATTTTCAGGATATCCGTAGGGTGGAGGACAAAATATATTTTGCAAAAAAAGCAAGAGACACTGCGCCGGGGCCAGGTATGCCCATACGAAGAGCATGAGTGACGAAGACGAGGGAGATGGCTATTCATTTCAACCAGACTATCAGAACAGCTTCAGTACCACAGGACTGGGTACACAGCTACTTAATCCCACTTCCACAACTAGGCAAAGATAATTCTAGACTCAGCGGCTTAAGGATTATCACCCTACAAAATACTTTTGAAGATTATTGCTGTTAAACTACAAATGTTTTTGGAAAGGGAACAGCTCCAGCCAAAAGGTTTGGGTAGATATGAGGGCTTCCTTAATAGACAGGAGACAGCTACGGCACCACTTGATCCTGAGGATGCCCACAACAGAGTCAGATATTATATTTTGCTATCTGCACTCATGTAGAAGTCTCTGGCTTGTAAACTGGATAGCAACTGTCCTGCATTCACGTATGGCAGCCTTTCGCCTGGACCTCAGGACCATGAAATATCACCCCGGCACTACCCTAGGGTTCTGCAATTTCACCGGTGCTCTTTAAAGTGTATGCTAGCAAGATTGCAGACCATGAAGCATAAGGTGTCAGAAGAATATTAACATTTGATGATGTTCTTGCAGGGAAACAATAGGCAACGGACAGCCCAAGAGCTACGGTCAACAGTAGACAAAGTGATAATAGAATTGTGAGAGCTAACAACAACAAAAATTGAGGTACCAAGGTATCATTTGACAGAAGCCTGTCCTTCAAAGATCATGTGGAGGCAGTTACTGGGAAATGCCAAAAAGGCTCTCAAGATTATGGCAGCAATGGACATGGAACAAAGAATGCTATTCACAATGTTCCAACATATGATCCTGTCGGTGATAGATTATGGACTTGGTATGCTTACCATATCAAAGAGTCAGCTGATGAAATGCATACAGAATTAAGCCATGCGGGTAATTCTGGGATGTACAAGAGATACCCCGGTAGTATGTAAGCGATATATGCTTGCACTGCCCACTATTGCAGATATGCTTTATGTTCTGACAAAGTCATATTTCAGAGTAGTTGCATACAAGAAGCAACACCTGCATGAATCCCTGGGTATAGCTAAGGGTCACCGACTGAAAAGAGGAAGGTCTTGGATGGCTCAAGCTGAAGACACAATCAGACTAGTGTGCAGGCTTGATACATTTGTTTAAGACGTGTAGGGTTCTTATCCCTTTGGGTCGTGAGTGCAGGAACTGGCTCTTCAGAATCAGATGTTTAACAAATGATTGATAACAATTCCCACCCAAGTTATGTGATTATCTATACAGATGGCTCTGAGTTGAGGGGCAGATGAAATGCATGGGGGTTCATAGTAAAAGCTAATGGACATCACTTAGTGCAACAAAGCTTGGCATATATCACGTCTAGCTTGAGAATGGAGGTGGAGGCAGTCACTGCTGCATTCTGCTGGCTTGAGAATCAGCTGTACACACACACCATGATTGAAACTGACTAACAGAGCAGTTAAGAAAGGAAGAGACACTTATGCTTCGTGCAGAGGTCCCCGGTAGTCAGCACCCTTTGAATATTCTCTCCAGGTAATGCCGGTATGTTGGGAAATGAGCAGGCAGATAGACTAGCCAGTTCTGCACCACTTGGTGGTGAACTGATGTATGACAAGCTACATGTGGTGAGGACCCTCTGGGAGCAGGCGAACAGTGACGAAGCGCAAATAGATAATAACAGTCTGAGGAGAATGACAGGGGATCTATCTAGCCGATGCTCTCAACGTTCAAGGAAAAGGCGAAAAAGATAAACAATCAGACATTTACTGGTGCCATCGGAACTGGAATTCTCTGTTTGCTGCTGAAGATGGAGACGGAGCGCACATATGGGAGTGTCCCGAGTGCTATAGTGGTGACATATTACACTGACCTGACGGAAACTGCTGTCATGGGTGTTTCCTGCGACCTATGTATTAGCTCAAATGAGTCTGCCGTCTCAATGGTATCTTCGGCTAGTGCCATCCATGACTTTCTTTTTTTCAACCAGTCTATCTCAAATCTTTCAGACTGTCATGCAGCGGATGCCTTTTATCATTGGTTAACTCACATATATCCCTTGGCTTGCACCAGTGACAGTCTAGACTTTCCAGATGTCAGCCCAAACATATACCTCGTTTTAAGTGGTGTATCTCATGTGCAACCCAAAAAAATTATCATTCCTTTATTTTGAATCTATTCAAGCTTTATAAACTGAGAAGTAAATAGTGTAAACATTTCTAGGCCATAGTTGCTGAAAGGACCAAATAGTTTAACAATAAGAGCAAGACTGTTCTATGTATGCTGCCACCATGGTCTTCAGTGCCGCTAGGCCACGCTTGCATTTGATCAGTCTGCTCCATGTGATATGTTTAGGACAGACTGCGATTAAACGTCAAACCTAAGTATTTCTGCTTTTCTCTACTACATTTATACCCTTCAAGGATATGCTGGGCAAGTCTTCCTTTTCAATGCTGTTATTTAAGGAGCACCACAAACCACTTGCCTTCTCTGGGTTTACCCTTGACCTTGTCTGTTCACACCACTCCGTCATTTCATGCAAAGTATGTTGCAAGTCTCTGGTCATGTCCTGCCTGTCCGACCCACTTCGATAATCTGTGAATGTCGAAGTTCGCCGCTGTATTTTTTGCCAGATTTGCTGTATATATGTTGAACAAGACTGGTGACAATGGTAATCCCTGAATTGGATCCAATCTCCATGTTCCCAAACAAAGTACCACTGTTCTTTCCAACAGTGCTGCCACCATCTAATTAGCCAACCAAGGGCAGCACAGTCTATCACACACTGTATAAGATATGTGAAATCAACGCGGTATAGTCATCTTCAAGATCTACCGCAAACAGTGACGACTGTTTCTTGCTTTCACTAAAATCTTCATACACATCACATGCGAACATACCAGTATTGTTCCATGTTGCCTTTGATGGCGTCTAGCTGCCAATGGTGCCCAGTAGCATTTTATACTCTAAGTGTGGCATACACATTTTGCAAGGTAATGATTCTATTAACTGCTGAGGTGTGACTGGTTCTACGATTGGTTCAATCCACAATCCTACTTGTAAAAAAATAATACCCTAACAAAAAGGGTTGCAAAATAATGGTAGCAATATAATGGAACACCCCCCCCCCCCACCCCAATAAACTGAACAGACTGCAATGGTGTAGTGGATCTTACAATCTTTTCAAATATGTGTGGACTTTTAATGTCCATTCTGAAATTAAAAAGCAGCAGTCAAATTGCTGCTTTTCTGACTACATACTAAAATATAACAAAATTCACATATACAAAATATTAAACTATGTTGTATAAAAACACATTTAGATCACCAGCCATCACACTCTGCAATCTCTTCTGTGATTTCTAGGAGGAGCCTGAAACGCATATGATGGTACTCATACAAGAATTCGCACCGTGTTCACAATTTCAGACACCTAGCGATCAGTCATAATAGCATAGCAAATAATGCATCACTAGTCTGTATTTTAGGTGCAATTTCCACAACTATATGCCACAGCCATTTTTTAGCAGTGATAGCACTAATACTTTATTTCAACCATCATGATTCTAGCATCTAAGATCTCACAAAATGGGTACCTGAACACTTCCAATCTTTTTGGAAAGGAAATTTGGTGAAAGTATCAATAACCCACCCCACTTGCAGAACATGTCACAGTCACCTAACCCATGGCAGTTTCCACTACGGCAAGCATACAGCTAGACCTTCATGCCATGTTGCCAAACTGTCTATCAACTTGTTTATTGGTCTACCATGGCCATATACAGCATATTGGTACTCAGCTGAGTGGTGTTGAACAAATTTTTAAATTATTATACATGTTATTTACTTTCAAAAAGTTCATAATTATTAAACAGTGAAAGACAGTAAGTTAAAACCAAACAGCATCTAAAGACTGCTTGATATTGTCACTATTTTCTCTACGTTCTTTTGTAACCAAAGAAGCCTCTCCACTCTTTCTCACACGTCGTGATTGTTGTGCGTGTTGTCTGCGCTTGGCCTGATTACGAATTCGAATCCTGGCCACTTCAGGTGCTATGCTGGAGCAAGCTATACTTGAGGTGAATTGAGAAACTTGGTCACTTCTAGTCTGCAGCTGATGTTTGTTGACATGCTGCAGGCTTTCCTTATTTCTAAAGGGCTGAATTTCATGATTAATTTTGCTCAAGGTTTTCAATGTTGACTCCTCTAAATCAGCAGGATTTGTAAGTTCATCTATTTTACCAATATCTACATCATTTAAATGCATATCCAAAACTTCCGGTTGGTTAGTTATCTTCATACTATCAAAAAGACATCCATCTAGTGCTGTGTCAACAATTTCAGATATGGTTGCTTTAGCATCATGAAATTCTTCAGCAGAAAGATATGATGCTATATCCTCATCTTCACATTCAGCCTGTGTAAGCCATTTCAAAATATTGGGGTCTTTTCCATGAGAAACTCTGCTATTCTCTTCATCAACATTCTTTTCTTTGCTGTTAGAATCTGGAATTTCGGAATAAACAATGGCTTCTTTGTTGCTATCATCAGATAATGTACTATCTGCATATTCTTCTTCATTATCATCAGTTTCATAAGCAGCCTCAGCCAGACTGACATTTGATTCTATGTTGCAGAGGATTCCCATTTCATCCATTTTCTGCAAATACAAACAATTCAATATAAATAAAATAAAACAAAGAGAAACCAATTCATTACAAAGAAATTAAAAAAAATATCTCATTATGCAAACATAAACAGTTTATAGAGAAATATCAAGGCCTAAAATGCTCAATTTCTTAAGGAGAAATCAATCCCAGAGAGCCGATACTATAATTCTAATCTGGGACAGCTATCATGTGAAATTACTAAATTTTAGGCTTAACTAACAACTTTAATTGACAGAAAGAGTAGAAAAAATTTGTTACTCAACAATAAATACATTCAATGAGTTGACAGTCAAAAGTTACATAACAACCATAGTACCTGATTAAAGACATCAGCCAAATCCTTTGTGAAACCACTTGCTGCTACTTCAACATCTAATGTGTCAATCCTCCTGAAATTGACAATTCTTTCAGTCAATGCACTTTGACATGACATAAAACTAATGTACTTAAAAATATACAACAAAAGAACAGCTAAATATGGTAAAAGGTTTAAAAATGTTTAAAGGGGACAGTGGTAGTGTATCTGCTAGCGTATGCAGCTTCGCAGCATTATTTGTACAGGTGACTATCACTGCCTGCTGGTTATGGTAGTCATAGATTTAAATCCCAATAAACATTTTTTTTTAATATATATATATAACTTAGGTTCTGAATATAACAGTCTTAAATGGAAACAAATGCTCTGGTAAGTAAAGACAACCAGGCCTGTTTCACATCACCTAATAAACGCTAACTTTTCTATAAAAATGTTAGGCTATCCATATATCACAACTGATTACAAGCCTCCTTAGCTATTAGTGGTATCCCTAAGGTCCTTAAATAGAAAAGATTAAAACTTTTGAGCTAGTTGGGTTCAATGTATCATTACCTTACTACACTGCCATCTATTCCTGCTATGCTAAAAGGAAATTTAAAGACAATGGTATTTCTAAATGGGATACATAAGACTGCAGATGACAAAAATAAACAAAAGTGAACAGGATTTTTTTTTAATGTCATAAGTATGCACACTGATTTTAGACACCAGGAAATAAAAATATTTTTATCTGGAAACATGAAAATACTCTTTGACAGCACTTACTCTAGATCAAAGAATGTAGGATACAGTTCACTTTCATAGTTATAACGCTTGGCGAAGAAGTCTCGGATACACTGTACATCTCTGTCAAAATACCTGTTAAAATTCAAGAAGTGCACACACAAAATTACTAAGAAACTACATCAGGATAACTGTCACAAGGTGGCAAAAACAAGAATTCTATTTCGAAATATCTCACGCTAGTTTAAGTCAAATATTAAAAATTTATTTGTAAGCAGATCATATTTTATAGTACCAGGAAGGTTAACCAGGTCAACAAATGCCCGCAGAAGTCGGATGTGTTGATCGAAAGGTGCAAATATCGCAACCATGCTGTAAACGGACACATGGCAATTACATCTTCGGATGAACGCAGAAGAAAAATTTTTATAGTAAAACAGAACAAACCACGTTTTTTTGTAAATCGACACTGCCAATACCATATTAAGAGGTGGTGACTGCATCCCTTTAATTTAGAACAAAGCTAACATAGTTTGGGTGTTCTTTTTAAATCATGCAGAGAAGACACTTAAAGTAGGTAAATGCCTCATATTTTCTCCTTAAAGTATTGAAAAGCAAGGGGTGAGTGCACAGCACCATATACCCAATGATTCGATCAAAGTATCACGAAGTGCAACTTTACTACTCATTCCACATGGAGGATTAGTACTGGACTACTTTTACACAGAACTCGAGTGGCAAATTAAAAAAAAAATTTAATGAAAGCTTAAGCTAGACTGGCCGTTTGTGTGGGTTCAAATCCTTTGCAACATTCTTCTTTAAAAAATGTCAGCCATTAAAGAAAAGTAAAAGTGATTAAAGTACAGGATATACCCTGAAGGTGCTGCATTTAATACAGCAGGTATTATACATGTGTGAATAATATATTAAGTTGTGTAGGTACTAGTTAAACCCAGGTCTTGTTGCCGACTTGTAGTCAAGCACATGTGGGCACTCAACATATATCTGGGGCATAGAACTAAATCAGTAAAGGAATGACAGATCTGTTAAAGAAGGAATAAACATTTTCGTTAATTTTGAGTGTTTGGAACCTATGAGCTAGTAAGACCAAGTTCGTCTCGTACTCGGCATAATGTTAAACATACAGCTGTTGTAAGTCATCTCAATGAATAGTCCTCAGTGAATGCTCGTATGGCAGTTGCTATGGTGTTTTTCCATATAGACTGGGCCTTTTCCTTTTACACAGTCAGAGTCAACATAAAATACAATTTTCAGAAAGTCTTGAAGATCCAATACCGTGCTCTCCGTATTATGACAGAGGCCAGGCGCTCAACGGGCAGATTAGACATGAAAACAATTATCTGGAAGATAGGAGACACACAAAGCTCCTTACCCAGCTCTCCAAATACCACTACTTTAAAGAACAACTCATGCACAGTCAACTGCAGAAATCCCAGAAAGAGAGAGAACCTGTTTCATTAAGAACGCAAATGCCAAGCTTGTGGTCCTCAAACTCCCTCCCAAAATACCAAATATTCCACTGAAACCTTACAACCACTGCCCCCCTTGGCTTATGGATAGTCTGCATACAGTCAACAACCATTTAACAGGGATCTCCTCCAAATCATCAATGAGCAGCACTGATATGAAATAAATTACAGAAGGAGAGATGAACAGACTTTATCCACACCAGATTAGAGTGTATACAGATGGTTCAGCCAAGACAGCAGTAAGAGATGGAGGAGGAATATACATAGAATGCTCAAATGGTTTAAATAATCAACCAGGCTGTACCAACATGTTTATATTCCTCAAATTACAGAGTAGAGGCAGAAGCACTTCTGGTGGCATGTTCTTTCCTTATTGGACAACAGCACAGTAAATATAGCAGAGTGATCTTTTTGACTGATGCTATGTCATTTCTACAAGCAATTGTTAACCCAAAAGACACAAAGTTTGTAGACTTGACGCAACATCTGATTCACTTAGGCTCTTCAGCAGAATAATCTGTACTGCAGTGAATTCCAGGTCACTGCAGTTCAGAAGGCAATGAAATAGCGGACACAATTGCCAGAAGCGGCAATGACATGGTACAACCCAACAGTGACTTAACCCACCAAGAGATGAAAACATTAATACAATCCAGTATCCAAGAAAGGTGGCTGGATACACAAACCAGATTATCACCCCAAAACTCGCTTCATCGCCTCTCAAGAGAGGGACAGTGTATTAAATTCAGACTAAGGACTGGGCATAATAGACTTCGCCAACATATGTTTACATTTTTTGGTGTAGGAAACACGGAGCTGTGTCCCTGCAGCATGGCGCCCGAAAATGCTGAGCATGTGTTCCAACACTGTTAACTGTATGCTGACAAAAGAGACATAATCTGGCCTGTTCCAACCATACTGAAGACAAAGCTGTATGGTATACGAGAGGATATGGGCGGCATGATATCTTTCATAAAGGCTACCAGCATCCTGATATAAGTTTTCTGAAAGAAGGATCCAAGAAGAAGAAGAATCTTTAAAAACCAGTTGTGACAAATGTGTCAATAGGAAATGTTTGTCAGGAATCTGTAAATCAAAAGATACAAGATACAAGGGAATCTGAGTAGGAAGAGAAAATGCCACAACTGTGAGATGTGACTCATGCATGGAAATGCAATTAGTTTAGAGTAAAAGTTAGTTCAAAGTTAGCAGAACTCGCCTGTTGGTGGCCAGAGGTAATAAGATAGGATGGAAAAAGTAATTGGTTTGAAACAACTGCTTTACAAGACAGTCAATAAAGGTGAGATATTTATTGTACAGGAGGGCGAATGAAAATATGAGCACCGTCCTGATTGCCTTCAGATTACCGAGAAACTCTCCTAAATGGTGACCACTAGTACAAACAATCTAATGACACTGGGTGCCGCAAAACAAAAGCGAACACATGGTTTTAAACTTCTTATTATCAAATTTTTCATGTATGAAACTACACAGGCTGCCTTGGGGGGGGGGGGGGGGGGGGGGGGGGGGGGGGGGGGAGGTGGTTGTGTAGCAATAAACTTAATCAGTGTTTTATATTATCTAAAATTTTAATAACTTAGTTATATACTTGATGCCATGGCTAGTACTAGTAAGAAAGCAATTGGTAAATGTAAAACCTGTGCATTTAACAAAGTAAGTAAAAAAAAAGGTGAAGGACCCTTTCCCACGCCTTTAGGTGTATAGGGCATATAGGGCTAGACCTAAAAAAAAATTAGACCAATCGGCTTAAGATGGGTGATGTGGTCAGCATCACACCCGCCGCCTCTACTTCCCAGGACTGCATCCTGTACCCACCCAAGACTGCGTCAACCTGGAAGCTAAGGTCATTTTTTCAACAACAAAAAGTCCGGCTCCGCCAGGGAGCGAACCCAGGATTTTCTGATCCGCCGCGAGCGTCTAGCCACTCCGCAACGGTGACTCCCGCATTTAGTAATGACTGGACATTAAAATATTTTTTTAATGTCATAAGCCATGCCAATCTGAAACCAATGTGTGTCGGCAGTTAAGAAATACAACGTGAAGCAGCATTTTACAACGAAATATGCAAATTTTGAACAATCATTTTCAAAAAGTTTCACTAATAGGAAATCAAAGGTTGAATCATTGAGTGCTGTTTATCAGAACAGCAGCAGATTTCTTAAATGAGTTTGTACTCAATAAAAAGTTACAGTGGCTTCATTATATGCATCAGAGATAATAGCTTAAAAAAAGCGGCCTTTTCATCGACTCGGAAAATGAAAGAATGCAAACAGGCAAATTCTGGATGAAATAGCAGTTTGATGATAAAATAAAAACAAGCACACCACATTAATTCAGCAAATCTCTACGTCAGATACCTCGACTACGTTTAATCGAAATTTTAGGAACTGCAGTTTTTAAATCTTAAATTAAAAGCATAAAGCAGGTAGAATTTGTCAGTTGCCGTTGATGAATCTACAGATATCAGTTATGTTTATGTGTGTTTTTTTTTTAATGGGAGTGATCATGGGAGTGACCATTTGCCATGCTAGTTTTTTTTTTTTTAAGTATGACAGTACCCTTCTTGTGCACCTCTGACAGAAGGTATACAGCAAAACCACCTCCTCTGCTTTTGTGCTGCCTCCATGGTGGACCCAAGAAGTAGAACAGGCATGGTAAGCAAAGCGAGCTGCAGTTAAGAGTGCGAAAGGCACCTCACAGGATAGAGGATATAGAGAAGCTAGAAAGAGATAGAAAAGAAAAAGTAGAAGAGTTCAAGCAGTGTGCAGCAAATGCAGTAAAGGGTAAACTGAAACTTTTTATGAGCGAAAATGGAGGGGATTAATCAATGGGTAGGTTTCAAAAACTTCACAGACAGATGCAAAGTCACAACAGGCATTATATACACTAATAATGATGTCAATGACAACAGACCAAGAGTAAGGTGAAGCTTTCTTGAAGAGATTTATATTCCAAACTGATCATAATGATAGAGAGCTTAGAAATTCAGAGTTAATCTGTCCAGTACTATAAATAATAACTATTTTCAGAATACCATTAAGGTGGAGGATATAAAATATATATATATTGCAAAAAACAAAAGACTGCGCCAGGGACAGAGGGAGTCAGGTATGCCCATATGAACAGCATGAGTGATGAAGACTTGAGGGAGATTTCATTTCAGCTAGAGCATCAAAACAGCTTCAGTACTTAAGGACTGGGTACACAGCTACCTAATCCCTCTTCCAAAACATGGCAAAGATCATTCCAGACTCAGCGGTTTCAGGATTATCATGCTACATTCTTTTGGCAAGGTGCTTGAGAAGATTATTGATGTTAAACTACAAATGTTTTTGGAAAAAGAAGAGCTCCTGATATTTTCCTATCTGCACTCATGAAGAAGAGGTCTGTCCCTGGCTTGTGAACTGGATAGCAGGTGCCCTACATTCACTTACTATAGCCCTTTGCCTGGGTACATGGACCTCAGAACCATGTAATATCACCCCAGGACCACCTCAGGGGTCTGCAATATAACCAGTGCTCTTGAATGTGTATACAAGCAAGACTGCAATACTTGAAGCACCAGGTGTTTGAAAGGATTTGGACATTTGCTGATGTTCTTGCAAATAGGCAGGGGAGTAATAGGCAACGGATAGCCCAAGAGCTGCAGGCAACTGTAGACTAAGTGACTGACTGGAATGCAGAAATGGAATCTGTCATCAAATCAGTAAAGGCGGCTGTTTTTGTGGTCCTCTTTGGACTGGACAATAGAATTGTGAGAGCTAATGTTATAAGCCTCACAATTAATAACAGTAACATCAAAAGAGAAAGCAAACTGAGGTACTTGGGTACCATTTTCGGTAGAAGCCTGTCCCTCAAGGATCCTGTAGAGGCAGTTATGGTGAAATAAAAGGACTTAGGGATCTCAAGATTATGGTAGCACTGGACATGGAACAAAGAATGCTGTTTACAATGATCCAGCATGTGATCCCGTCGGTGATAGATTATGGATTTGGAATGCTTACTGTATCAAAGAAAGCCGATGAAACTTAAATGCATACAAAATTAAGCCATGCGAGTAATTCTGGGATGTACATGAGATACCCCGGTAGTATATATGCAATATATGCTTGCACTGATAGGCTCAATGTTTTGCAAGCAGTCATATTTCAGAGTAGCTGCAGACAAGAAGCAACACCTGCATGAAAGCCCCTGGATACAGCTAAGGGTCACAGAATGAAAAGAGTAAGGTCTTGGATGGCGCAAGCCAAAGACACAATCATACTTATGTGCAGGCTTGATAATTTTGGTAAAGAAGAAGGGTAGGTAAAAGTGTCCGAGCAAGTTTCAGACTTGTGTAGGGATCTTATCATTATAGGTCGTGAGTGCAGGGACTGGACAACTGGCGCTGCAGAATCAGCAGAAGTTCAACTTGACAATTCCTGCCCAAATGATGTGTTTATCTATACAGATAGCTCTGTGTTGAGGGGCACATGAAGTGTATGAGGGTTCATAGCAAAAGCAAATGGACGTCGCTTAGTGCAACAAAGCCTGGCATATGATATCACAACGTCAAGTTTGAGAATACAGGTTGAGGCAGTCACCGCTGCCTTCCACTGGCTTGAGAATCAGCTGTACACACTTGCCCTGACTCACAGAACATGTTGAGAAAGGTTGAGACAGGCATCCTCCGTGCAGAGTGGCAAGCATCACTACTGAGGTCTCTCAAGTAGTATCCTTTGGATATTTTCTCCAGGTTATGCCAGTGTGTTGGGAAAATAGCATGCCGACAGATTGGCCGGTTCTGCATCACTTTGTAGTAAACTCATGTATGACAAGCTGGATGTTGTGAGAGCGAGTGAACAGTGCCGAGGCACAGACAGATCATTACAGTCTGAGGAGAATGGCGCTCAGGAAAAAGGAGAGATAGATATACTATCGCTGGTACCATCGGAATTGAAGCTCTTTGCTTGCTGCCAAATATGGGGAGGGAGCGCTATTCGGGTGTCCCGAGTGCTATGATGTCAATTCAACATTCAATGGCAGTGTGGACATGTATTCTGGCATTAGTGGAATTTTATGTATCTTTTTATAGTTAAGTATTTTTAAGCCTATAAATCACTTTAGAAGTCATCTGAATTTCTCCTACTATACATCAACCATTAACAATGTTCTTATCCTTTTAATCCAAATTATCAACAACAACCCAGAAGAAGAAGAATTCAAATTTAGACATAGATTTAAAGAAATTTTTTTTTTCAAAGCCGTACCCTTGTATTATACAGCTTATAACAAAATACAGAACAATAAAAACATTCAAAAACAACACTATTTACAGTAGAAATTAAAATCTAAGGAATAAATGAAAAGATGACTATAACCTTACATTTCTGCATTTGGGTGTGATGTGGATATCATCTGTGGGAAGTCAAACATTGTGATATGATCCTTTGAGTCAACCATTAGGTTAAACTCATTGAAGTCTCCATGAATGAGTCCATGGTTTCCCAATTTTACTAACAGCTCCATGCAGTCATTGTATGTAACACTTGGATCAGACAACTCATGTACCTGGCACCTGAGAAACAGTAGTAATCATTTAAACACTATATGACACTAACTGCTAACATGAATATTCGTTATACTATACACATATTTATCAAAATGATTCTTTGTAGTAGCATTTGATGCATTGGTAGCAAAATATGTATTAAGATTAACAATGAAGCATTACTGAGAGCAACATAAAGGGGACATAGTTTAGTGGAAGACCATTCGACTACAAAATGAACTAATGCAGGTTAGTAGATTAGTTAGTTAGTTGGGTTATCATCATTGCACTCCGGACATGTCCATAGGTGCTCAGATCCTCCCCTCAGTATGAATCCCAACGTCCGATGGCTAATAGTACCAGTTCTATGTTGATTAACAAGTCTTCTGACGTGTCCGGTGTGCGTCTCGTTTTTTGCTGTGCCGATCTTAATTCCCAAGTCTGCCATTCTGGCGAGTGATGTGGATTCACTGCCACCAAAGTCCTCTATCCTTCCCATTTCTCTGAGGGCATTGATAATATCAGCATGATCCATAGGCCGACCGTCGGTAGTGATAGCGGATCCAGCCAACCTGTCAGCTCTTTCATTTCCATCGACGCCTGCGTGTCCCGGAACAAAAATAAAGGTTAGTAGAATTCACATATAAGGCTGAATGGTACTTCTCTGAAGCAAGTTAAAGAATTTAAATATCTAGGAAGTATATTCTCGGAGGACCAGAGAATAAATCGGGAAATAGTGCCAAGACACCAAAGAGTAATTGCACTTATATACCAACTGATGCCACTATTAGGACCTCCAAACATATGTATGAAAGGCAAGAAACAGATTTATACAGCATACTCATACCAACACTGTGCTACCAGTGCCAGATTTTGACATCAAAGGCTAACCTAGGTGAAATTAACACCATGAAACATGCACCAACAGGAATCATAAACTTATCTATTGGCACTTTAGTGTGCTGTTAATAATTCTTCTCATTGACTTATTCTATTTTATCCTAAATCTGTCCAGTCACAATAATTTCTATGTGTCTCTTAGCACAAAGTAGTACTCTCTGTGTGGATTGCGCGATCCCATTTTGGAGCCAAAAGAGGCCTGCTGCTCCTCAACAAGCATGTCGTAAAAGATGACTAATTAGGGATTTGTGAAATCAGATGTGTTTAGCCTAATTAGGGATTTGTGAAATCAGATGTGTTTAGCCTAATTAGGGATTTGTGAAATCAGATGTGTTTAGCCTAATTAGGGATTTGTGAAATCAGATGTGTTTAGCCTAATTAGGGATTTGTGAAATCAGATGTGTTTAGCCTAATTAGGGATTTGTGAAATCAGATGTGTTTAGCCTAATTAGGGATTTGTGAAATAAAATGTGTTTAGCCCAATTAGGGATTTGTGAAATCAGATGTGTTTAGCCTAATTAGGGATTTATGAAATCAGATGTGTTTAGCCTAATTAGGGATTTGTGAAATCAGATGTGTTTAGCCTAATTAGGGATTTGTGAAATCAGATGTGTTTAGCCTAATTAGGGATTTGTGAAATCAGATGTGTTTAGACTAATTAGGGATTTGTGAAATCAGATGTGTTTAGCCTAATTAGGGATTTGTGAAATCAGATGTGTTTAGCCTAATTAGGGATTTGTGAAATCAGATGTGTTTAGCCTAATTAGGGATTTGTGAAATCAGATGTGTTTAGCCTAATTAGGGATTTGTGAAATCAGATGTGTTTAGCCAAAAGGTGCAGATATCAGTTTAACTGTAAACCACAACACAGCACAGAAGCATGACAATTAACTTCTATGATTTCTCTTTGTGCCTTTGCTTCTTTAAGAACAGTAATATTATTCATTTTTGGATTACCAAGTTATTTTAATAACTAAAACATACAAGCACTAAGACATAAACTTCACTGCTCTAGCAATCTAGAAAACTGGGCCTAGTTTAACAGGCTTCTCATTTGTGTGAATTTCAATGTGCTGACCATGGGACAGTACTGGGGAAAACAGACAAGGAAATGCTCTAGGAGAGACCATGGTGGGTGCAGATGCATAATGACAGTTGGCCAGCTAGAATAGCAATGAGACAGGCTGATGCATTTTTTACCCAGTCAGCAGTGCTTGACACAAAATGGAGTGTCCAAGGCGATTACAGGAGTGACCACATGCCATGCCCAGTCTTGATTTCTAAAGCTAGCAAGATCATGACTATGACAGCATTTAAGACCAATACCCTTTTTGGGCACCTTTGCAACAGAACCGTTCAGTTCTGCTTTGTGCAACCTCCAAGAAGATGAACAGGCACAGAAAGTAAAGACAGCAGCAATTAAACACCTCACATATTATTAGGAGGTGGTCACAGATGGATGCAAAGAAAGGATGGCCCTATCACAAGTGAAATTAGATATGCAGATAATGGTTTGCCCATGCCAACAGACAAAGATGAGCAGAAGCCATTTTTGCAGACATTTATATTACAAACTAATCAAAATGACAGGGAACTTGAAAATTCAGTTAGATATGATCTATTGAATACCATAGGTGTATATTAAATGTATATTACAAAAGGCCAGGAAAAGACGGAGTCAGGTATGTTTATATGAAGGACATAAATGATAAAGGCTTTCACTAACAGAGCATCAAAACAGCATCGGTACTCCAGGACTGGTTGCACAGCTATTTAATTCCAGTTCCAAAACAAGGCAAGGACAGGCTCAGTAGCTGCTTGATTATCACTTTACAAAATACATTTGGTAAGGTGCTGGAGAAGATTATTGCTATTAGACTGCAAACGTTTTTGGAAAGGGAAGAGATCATGTCAAGAGGTTTAGGCTTACAGCGAGGTAAAGATATCTAGACAGATGCTGTTTTATGCTGCTCTTTAAACAATAGAATTTAAGAGCTGATGTCTCACGCCTCATAATTAATTATATAAATATTAAAAGATAAAGCAAACTGAGGTACATGGGTATCATTTTTAATAGAAGAAACCTGTCCTTCAGGTATTGTGTAGAGGTAGTTGTGGCGAAATGCCAAGTGTGCTCAAGATTATGAAAGCAATCGATAAGGAACAAAGAATGATGTTCATGTTTCAGCTCGTGATTATGGAATTGGAATACAGAAAAAAAAAGTACCTGAGAAGGTTTCTGCCACCGTAAGCTTTCGTCTTTTCCGATGGACGGACACAGATCTGGACAGACAATGTTTTTGTTTTTGCTGTGGTCTGTCCAGAATGAAGAAACTCAAAATTAAAGAAAACTGGACCAAAAACTGTTTCCTTAGGACTCCCACGTTCAGTGAAATTATGTCAAGCGACAGATTTTTAATACTTTTAATAGTAAAAAATAATTATGTCATACTACTGCTTATGGTTGCTGGGTCCAAGGTGGAAGAAATAGAATCCTTCAGGTATGGAAAATTAAGAAATTTCGCTGTATGGGGATCTGCTACAAATAAATGTAGCTTATCTCTAAAGCTTTTACTGACAACTCCTTCCATTTATTTGTGAATATTAGAGGCAAAATGTAGCTAAATACATTCGCAACAAGTTTATTAGTGACCTGTGCTTTACAAAAAATGTAGTTCATTTTCTGGAATCCAAATGGGGTCATGGTCAATTTTTTAAGGATTCTCAGAGCAAAGGGGTTATGACAGAATAGGACATAAGGGTCTTGAGCCTGAGAATACAGAGTTGCATGGCTAGTAGGTTCTGAAATCTTGCAGCCTAGTATATTTGGATTCCAGACTAATGGCATATGTACTTCAAGGGAAAAAAAAATCAATTTTAAAAATTCAACTTTCCTGAACTTACATGGGATATCCATTTAAAAGTTCCATTACAACAGCATGTCGACTGAAATCAACAGGCTTAGGAACTGGGAATTTCCGCTCATACAAGACCTAGAAAATAGTTCAAATAATAAATTGACAATCTATCAATCATTACTTCTGAAAACAAAAATAACTGCTTTATAATACAGTCTGCACAAAGAAAATTTGATTCCATGTACACATTGCAATCACAGCCTAGCATAAGATACCACATCTAGCATGAGAATGGAGGTGGACGCGGTAGCTGCAGCTTTCCGGTGGCTACAGAGCAAGATGCATACACATGTCATAATTGTAACAGTGACACTTTAAGCAGAATGGTAAGCTTCACTGGAAAGGTCACGGATAGTGAGCATACTTTGTATCTTTTTTCGAGGCTTGTGCTGACAGGCTGGGGAGTGAACAGGCAGACAGATTGGCTGGATCTGCACTAATAGGAGGTGAACTGATGCATGACAAGGCAGATGTGGTCGGGGCCCTTTGGGAATAAGCAACAGAATCAGAAGCAAAATAAGATTTGTATGGCCTGGAAAGAATGAGGCACCTGGGTTTAATCAGGGGTCTGGCCAGCTCAATACACTCAGAGAAAAGGCAAGACAGACATATAACCAGATTACGACTGGTACCATTAGTACTGGAACTTTGCGCTGGCTGTTGAAGATGAGCACACATGAGAATGCGGTGAGTACTGTAATGTCAATTCTTGACTCAACACACTGCACTCACCACGCATAAGGTCCTTTGCAGAATGTCAACTCTCATCATAGCAAAGTGGAAAGCAACAGTTTCTGCCAACTTTCCTGCTTCGTGAACTTTTACACCGAGAGTTTGACCCTATTGGTTCTTCCAAGAACCATTCCCTCCACTAGTGTTATCGTTAAACCATTTAAAAACAAAATTTGATATGGCTAAAGAATTTTTTTAAAGGATACTATCTACGAGCCAGTCCCCCTACATTTTGCATCCTGAAGAATGTCAGTAATTTTCCTCTTCTTGGTGCAGAAATATTGTTCTAACGGCTAGAATTCAAAATTCCATATAACATGGCTCGTAGCCAAATTCACTAACTTTTCTCAGGGGATTTTACATGGCTTGTAAAGGCTGTTTTAGGTATAAGCAGTGCTTTGTACATGCACATGTGGGCACAGTTTTTTTTGAACATCTTTTCTAAATCTGGCAGGGGAGAGCTAGTAGAAGGAATGATCATTTTTAACATTAATAAAATAGAGAGACACATAGAAATAGAGAGACACATAGGGAAAGGGGTGAGAGATAGGAGGAGAATGGAAGGGCAAGTAGAGACAGCGAGAGTAACAGACTGTGTGTAAGAAGCGGAGAAACCACTGGTGTGTGTGGAGGGGGAGGGGGACAGAGTTAAAGGGGAAGGAGAGAAACAGGCACACAGACAGATGAGCAGAGACTGAGGCAGTGGTGAGTAGAGAGAGACATGCAGGGAAAATGAAAAAGAAAAAGGGAAAGAGAAACAGACAAAAAGAAAAAAGAGAATGAGGAATAGGCACAGAGGGAGGATGAGATGCAAGTAGACGGACAGTGACAAACAGAGAGGAGAGAGACAGAAAAAGGGAGGGATAGAGAGTGTGGTGTAGAAGGGAGGGGAATAAGCGAAGAGATAGAGCAAAGACACAAGAGGCAACACAGAAATGGAGGGAAGAGAGAGAGAGAGATACACAGACTGAATTACAGAGATAAGAAAGACAGAGAGGGCAGTCACAGAGAGATAAAGGGAGAATATTGGGGGGGGGGGGGGTAAACAGACTAGGTGGGGTGTATCAAGCAGAGAGAGGGGTAAGAGAGAAAGGGCACACAGAGACATGGGGGGGGTTTAGGGGAGGGGGGATGGACAGATAGAGATACAGAAACTGGTGTAGGCCAAAGAGGGAACAATCAGACAGATTTAGAGAGTGAGAGATTAAGAGAGGAAGAAGTAGAGGGTCAAAGAGAAAGAGAGAGGGAGAAAGCAGGAGGAATGACAGACTGCAGCCATTTTAGAATAAAAATACCTGGATGAAGCTTAATTCTAATAATATTGGTGAGGATGTCTGTTGCATTCTACATGTCACTAGTTTCTATGATCGTCAAATCTGAGCACCAAGGTATATGACAGGAAATGTGACAATCATCTTAAAATGACAGTAAAGTTTTAAGGCAGTACAAGTGCAAGTTGCCATTTCAGAGGTTTTCCATGTTTAAAGGACTGTTATAAAGCCCTAAAATAACAATTTTACTTAGATATTGCTCATAAATTATTACCTTCATGTGTGCATATTCCTTTGTGGCTGCAAGTCTACCAAGGTAAAGCCAAGATGCAGACTTTCTGTATTTCAGGTAATCACGCTTGTTTTTAATCTGCCGAAAGCAGGTTCGTCCTAGTCTGAAAGATTCATGTCACCATTAAAATACACATAAAAGAACAAGCTTCCACATCGGTGTACTGAGCATACTGTGCTAACATATTTTTCCAATGCATGTTGTCACATGTAAACTATCTCCAATGTCTAGGACATATCTTTGCAACCATTCTTACAGCTGGGCCAAAGCCAGGGTCAATTCTAAAACTCAGTCTTGATAGCAGTTTTGACTGCTAGTGCTGCATTACTTCGGCTCCCCTCATGTTACTTTTTTGTCATCTCACTGATACAGTGTAGCCCAGTGTCATAGTTTTCTTTAATTGTCTTGTTCTTCTCGAATGGCCTTGGGTGGTGGATTTCTTCTGTAGTAGTGGTTGATTACACCAAGGCTGACTTGCTAGGGGTGCCGAGTAGACTATAAATCTTACCTGGTTGGCCTCATATGACATAAATGTAAAACTGGCTCAATTATTGTTACAAGTTCATGTGCAAAAAAGTCATGAATATAGTTACGAGATCATTTTAACAGCAAGATGATAAAGTGATGAGAGACATGCCTGTTTCCCTGATCAAAATAAGGCTAGAGCACAAAGAACTGAGCAAAGTTAGGAGATAATGCAGGGACTTAGGGGTTAGGCTAACTTGCCAATGAGCAGTACAGGATAGTGCTGTTTAGTAATCAATTTTGATGTGATGTATGTAAATTATGGACTATGAGGGCTGATCATTAAGCTAATTTGGGAATATTTTTGGTGAAACACCACATTCCCACTGCTTCCACTCTCCATGCACTGTGCAACTATTTGTCCCCACAATTAAAATCTATGAAAGATTGTGAATTCAGTAATACCGAAGACAATTGAGGGATATTATAGAAAGTGTTTACGAGAATGATGGAATAAGTATATATACCTAGAAGAGAACTAAAAGAAGGGATTAAACTCATTAACAGCATGCTTAAAAATAAGATTCAGTCACGACACTGAATGACCAGCCTTCGCATACTACAGAGTAGAAAATGCTCTAGAATTAACCTATAAGTTCTGTTCTAAAAATATAAGTATATGGAAATTCAGAAACCGCAGACAATGACTGCTGATTGAGCAAATATAATAATTACGGCAGATCTTTATGTTGGTGCCGTTATATTATGAAATGACCAATACAACCCTGTATGTTTTTTCTAATTTTGTTTTCAGTTTTTACAATATATAGCACCTTGGAAAATAATTAATATTATTAAAAAATCTATGAATTTATATTCTGGCCTGCAACATTCACACCTGATTTACTTCACACATCTTATGTTTTTTATAGTACAACAGAAAGATAATGCAAGAGAAATGACCCAACCTGATGCACTAATTTAGTCAATTCACATACATTTTTTTTCTCTATTTCAAAGTAAGAAAGATTTTCATTTTAAATATAGCTTCTATTTGTAAGTATACAAATTTTTTTTAAACCAAAAACAATTAAGCTTTATTTTTTAAAAAAGTTTCAATGTAACCGAACTTTACAGAACATGAATTTAGACATCCCTTTATTATATTTATTTTGCATAAAAATATACTTAATTAGTCGTTCCTCTTCTACCTTGGAGTTTGCCAGAGAGATCGCCAGACATCTCTATCAGCCGTTTTCTTTCTGACTTTGTTCCATTCTAGTTCTCTTTAGTCAGGGACTGTCGGATGTTGTCTTCCCAGCAGACCCTAGGTCACCCAGGAGGTCTGGTTTCCTGGTTCTGAGCCTCCAATGCCTGCCAATTTTTCCCCATTCTGCATACATGTCCAACTATCATAACTATGACTGATCCACTCGGGGTTTTAAGGAGAGGGTATCAAGATCTTGATGTATTGTTCTCAAGCTCTTCCTTCCAGACAAGTAAGTTGGACTGAAGGTGTGCCTCTGATTTAGCATCAAAATATAACTACAGTTTTGAGATAGAATCTATCTGTCATAAAAAAATCTGTTTAAGCCCCACACACAAAAATCTTGATACTCTAACAAACTAAGTCTAATTCAGTGAAATTATATTTTAGATTATAAATCTTACCTGTGAAATTTCAAGGCATACTGACGTTCCTCTTCATCTGCAACAATGTAGACATCTATACAGGAAGGACAGCAAACATTAAACTCGCATCAAATAAAATAATTTAAAAAAAAAACAACTTAATTTATGGTATTGGTTTGTGGCATATTAAAGAGATACAAACTTAATATGGTTTTTGGACATTACAACTGCTCATTGAAAAAAAAACATATTATTCTCCTTCTGCATTCATCCGAAGATGTAACTGCATTGTGAGACATTTGCGCCCTTCAGCTAACACAACCGATTTCTGCAAGCATTTGTTGACTTGGCTGGTAAGCCTGCCCGGTTAGTTTCATGGGACACAGCAGTCTCACTGTTGTGTGGTAATCTTTGTTTCCTAAGTCACAGGTCATGCTCCCCATAAGGCCAGTCCAGAGAAGCCACATAATGCCGATCAGCCCTCAAGAGAAGGCAGGGACAGAACACAAGCATTCCCAGCCATCCAACGAGGCTTCCATAAATGCAGAGCCAATACATGGTGCTCTAATACTGGGTTCACTAAAGGAATCATTACATCCTGTTCATGACTGTTTAACCTCTTCCATATATTGAACATATCAATTATCATAAGCAATGTCTCTGGAAGCCAGGAGTTGGCAGCGTGCAGACCTGGGATTTCGACTACCCTCATAAAATAAGTACTTTGCTTCTTCTGCACATAAGACTTTACTGCAGTGGACTACCGCGTCTATTAGTTTCATATGCCATTTCTCACATAGACATGTACGGGCATCCAGTGTGGCAGTATACAGACAGATGGTCCGTTTCATTTCTTCCCATGTCATGGTTTATAAACTCTGCATCTCGAGGGATTATTATCAGCTCAGATAATCCCAGGCAGTTTTTATCTTCTTTTAGACATAAATGTGACTACAGAAAAACAATATCAAATCCATACAGTTTTTCAGACGGCAGTTCAGCTGAATGAGGCTATCATGAATTATACCATATCATGAATTATACCATTTAAGTAAACTTTTATTCAGAAAATTCCAAACGGTCTCTTTACATGTATCAAAAGTTGTGATTTTGATTGTTATACCATATGGAATTTTCTTATAAACATAGCTATGCAACAAATTCTCATGGTGGCGCCATTCTTAATGCATTCATAATCAAACGGATCCTAATAAATGATAGTTATTCTTGTCTCTATGTTTGAGGGATAGAGGATGCAGCAAGCGCACAAAGTGACCTGACATGGAAACTACCTGTTGGATTCTGTCCAACTTTTGATGTGTTTAGATATAGAAATGAAGCCTTTAATACGAGCGGCCATAGTTTGAAGAGAATACATCTCTGTGAACCCCTAAAGACAGTGATCTCCAGAATGACCAAAACTGAGAATTGATTAAAGCAATGTGACACAGAAAAAATTAAAATGTATACTATACAATTTCTACGTTCCAATATGATATATGGTTAAATACCGAAAACTGCTGATTGATTAAATACTGTCAAACTGACTGCACTTAAAAGTTACTTTGGAGACAAAGATAAAAAGTGGCCATATTGGATTTCTTAAGAATGATCTAAAACAGTAATTTTTGTATGCATAAACATACATTTATGTGGATTTCTGACTGCTGCGCAAAAACTAAATCACAGTTCTACAAAAGCTCTTGTCACATAAAGTTAACTTATTGCTTTAACAAGTTACAGTAAAAGAAAAACAGTTTCTAACAATAAAAGATCATTAGAACAATTCTATTGCAACGCAGGATATCCATCCAGGGCATGCATTTCCTTGTCTCTTTAGTTTGGCTGCTTGTACACTGTAATCTCTTAATTTCCTTGTCCTTCCAGCTATTTCTAACTCACTTCTGCATCCTAATCTCTTCATATGCAGGCATGTAGAAAATCTAAAACAAAAACTACACATCGTGTTGAGCAGCAGCGCCAAAGTTAAACTTTTTTGCTGCAGTTATAACTGCAAACCAAACTTGTCTGTGTAACAAAAAGCACAGTAAAGTACAGTAAACCCATATCAAGCTGTGTAAATACTTATCTGAATTTTTCCTGACATACATCTACTATGTAGTTTAGCGTCAGATAGCCAGTCATAAATTGACAAAAGCTATTTCAGTAGTTTGTCAACATAACGTTTCATGATTTCTTCAATTTCCGGAAAATCAATAACTACCCTGTGTTCCAGTTTTTTGTAAGTTTTAAGTTTTTTGTATACACTGTCATCAATAGAAACACTTGCTGCTAGAGGAGGTCGTATATATTCATACATATCTCTTTTAAACTAGCTTTAGACTTTTCCTGCAAGAAAAGACACACTTCCACAACTTTGAGAAGAATATGATGGTAAAGAATCATTCACTGTCAAAATTCTAGCGAGACAGTTTTGCTGAGTCCCATTCTGATTTTCTGTAATGTTTACAATGTTCTGGCAGACCTTTCTTAGCTTACATGCAAGGTTTCTTTGTTAAGTAGCTGACTGGAAAGCAAATTTTCATAACAAAGCGTCAAGTGTTCATCAGCGTACACAACTGATCAAACTAGCCAGCTTGGAGAATCAAATACCCATGTGATCAATTTCAGCTAATGGGAATCGTGCATGGCTTATGCTAAATAAGTAAGGTCATGTTTACACCCATATATGGAATTATAAAGAAGGTTGTTGGCATGAATGAAAGAGCTGTTTATCAGGAATAGACATTCAACAGTCCCGAAACTTTGAACAATACAGGGTAGATAATAACAATTACAACAGTATGTGATACATACAGCTTTCACCTGTGCAAGTATCACTGACAGGGTTTAAAAATCATCAACTTCGTAACTATTTTCAAGAAATTAACAAATGCACACATAAAGTTAGTTCATTCAGTAAAATATGAAAACAGCTTTAAAATATTTTTCTAAAAAAAAAAAAAAACAACAGTAGCAAATCTGACAGACAACATAATAAGGTGTGTAAAAATTAACTCAAAATGATCCAAATCTACATTTTTGTGACTCGCACATGGCCTTACCATGTACGGGTGTTCAAGTCATCAAATTTAGGCAATGCTGAAAATTTTGGAAACGTTCGTTTTTACACACCTGTCAGATTTAGTATTTGTTTTTTGTCTAAAATGTTATTTTAATGCAATATTAATATTTTACTGAGCTAACCCTAGCTGTGAAATTATCTATTTATTGAAATGTTATGGAATTAGCTATGTTCCCCCTTGGCAACGCTATATGCACAAGGAGATAGCTGTACGTATTATATATCGTTGAAACCCGAATTATGTCCCCTACACTATTTGACGGAAATCAGGATTGTGAAATTTTAAGTTTTCCATTCAATACTGATTCACTGATCGCTATGAGTGTGCGGAAACTTGCGTATATTGATGTAAAAATGATCTCGGTCAGGTTCAGCGATTCCCGCTAGCTGAAACTGATCACGTGGGTGTTCGATCCTCAAAGATGGCTGATGTGTCGATCATTTACTCAGAAATGACATGACAGCTGCAAATTGAAAAATGTCTTATTCCAAAAAATTTAAACTACTCTTAGCCGATCAACATAAGAAATCTCAAAGTTTACAATTGGCAAATGCTCAAAAGCAAAGAAAGATATACCAGAGCGTCATTAACGTTTCAGAAAATTCGTAATGCGACGAATCTGACATGCTTAGTTGATGTTTCTGGTTCTAGCGTCACTGGGATTCTGGCAATCATTGATTCTGTACCATCGTGTTCTAGTTTGTGGAATGGGTGCCACAACATTCAAAATTTTTTGTGGAAATAAGAATCAGCAAGGTCTTTATCACAAAACATTTTACAAGAAAGCAAGTAAATTATATTCAAAGTTATAAGATTTGGAGGACAAGGTTTTCTCTCAAACCATGAAGTATGTTCAGCAAGTCCATGTACAGCAGTCATGCATCACTCTACATGGCAATGATGTGCTGAATACTATCAGCTTTGATGGCACTTGGCCGACTAGAGGCCACATATCCTACACTGGGGTTGGCTGTGCAGTGGATGTACTTACTGGACTTTGCAAAGATGTACATGTTTACATATCGTCAGATGTGTGAAATCACTGGTAAGAGAGTTTCCAAATCTAAACCAGTTGAATTGTAAGCATAGAAGGCAGACTATCTTCTAAACTGTAATTATGATTTCACAGGATCTGCTGGAATGATGGAGGAGGCTGCACGAGTGCTGTGGCCCATCATAAGCTTTGTTATACATCAACACTTTCTAATGGTGATGTGGAGCTTACCAAAATTAAACCTTTTGCGGTGGGGGGGGGTCATATAGGCAAAGAGTAATGCATTAACCAAGTAAGTAAAGGCCTTGGAATAGCACCTCGTAGGGTTGTTGCTGCCTGCCAAAAGCAAGGCGTGACCCTAGGTGGACGTGGTAAAGGTCAGCTTACAAAAAATGCCAACCATAAGCTGACAATTTATTACAACAGAGGGATAAGAAACAACACAAGTGTAGAGTCCATGAGGAACAGTGTTATGGCTTCATTGCATCACTGTTTCTGGACAGACAAAACTCCACACCATGAAATGTGCCCTTGTGGAAAGCAATCTTGGTAAAGCCCTGGTTAAGCACCAGTACCCAGGTCCTCATGACAAGATATTACACACATGTCTCAATCATGACAAGCTACAGAAGTATCTTTTGCCAATTTATGAAAGGCTGTCTGACCCTAAACTACTTAGTGGATGTGTTTCAGGAAGAACTCAGAATTCAAATTAGTGTTTACACAGCCTGATCTAAGCTCATTGTACTAAAGACAAGTTTGCCCCATGCAAGCATGTTAAGTTTGCAGTAGTAACTGCAGCAAGAGGGTTCAACTTTGGTGCTGATGTTTCTCAAGGCGCAGCCCAGTTTTATGGATTTTCTACAGGTCTGCATATGAAAAGACTAGGCGCATCTAGGATGCAGAAGAGAGTTAGAAATAGCTTGAAGTATAAGGACAAGCAAACTAAGAGACTTGACAGTGTACGAGCTGCCAAACTGAAGAGGCAAGACGAAATACATGCCCCAGAGGGAGGTCCTGCATATGCAGCATGATTGTTCTAATGATCATGTAATATCAGAAACTTTTTACTGTGTAAAATAACATGCAATTTTTTTTCCCTCCGGTTTCTCATTCTGGCAGTTTTTCGGCTTATGATACATTTAAATCAAAAACTGCTTGTCTGATTAAAATGAAACATTTAACATTGTATTGCATACGCACATACAAGAGCGTTTGTGAAACTAAGGTTTAGTTTTTGTATAGCAGCCGGGAGGCCACAACAAATATGCAAATTTTTTAAAATTAAGTAGAAAATTAATGATAAATTATAAAATAAAAAATCAACCTCCTGTACTTGTGTAAAGGGGCTATGCATGTTTAAATATACAAAAAAATTAAGCCTGTACATTTGAAAATTAAAAGAGAAATTGACAAGAGGACGAAAATGGCTGTTTACCGCTCTACCTATGTACCAGTCCTGACCTATGGGTGTGAGTCATGGGCAATGACAACAGCTCACAGAAGCCAGCTGCAGGCCTCGGAAATGAGATACCTGAGAAAGGTGGTCCAAGTTACAAGAAGGGACAAAGTCCGCAATCAGACAATACGTCAAGATCTTGATACCCAGCCCTTACTAACCCGAGTAGATCAGTCACAGTTACGATGGTTTGGACATGTATGCAGAATGGAAGAAAATCGGCCACCATGGCAAGCATGGGAGGCTAAGAACCAGGGAACCAGACCTCCGGGACGACCCAGGGTGCGCTGGGAAGACAACATCCGACAGTCCCTAACTGACAGAGGACTGGAATGGAACAAAGCCAGAAAGAAAACTGCTGATAGAGACGTCTGGCGATCTCTCTGGCAAACCTCTACACCCCAAGGTAGAAGAGGAGCGACTAAGTAAGTAAGTAGTACATATGAAAATTGTGGTTTTAGACCTATCCTGAGAAATTCAACATGGTCGTTGCTCAGTCAGTTTGACAGTATTTTTTCGATCTGAGGTATACCATACCATACCAGAGGTATACCTATACCATACCAGAACGTAGAAATTAATAGTATAAGATTTAGTTTTAAAAGGGAAGCATCGCCTTAATTAGGCCAATGGTTCTGCAATTATACAGAATCCATCTGTGCCATTGGAAGTCTGTACTGTCAACTAACATGATCATGGACACAGAATATCAAGGGCACGGGTGAAGGTCCACAAGGCAGGACAGCTGGCAAGAAGCCAAGAGGCTTTCTAGAATGTTAAGAGATTGACATACTGTTATATGATGATGAGCGGCACCTTCAAACTACAGAAACTGAAAGTGACAACATGCAAACCGACAATCAAATTCATATTATATAACAGACAATTAACTCTAGCTTTATACCTGACTCCTTTCCTACTCCAATTTGATTTCCAACAGATGAAATGACATTCTTTTCTGCAAAAACTTTCAAGGCCAAGTAATCATACCCAGCATTTGTCAAGCGATATCCATGATCTGAGAAAAACAAAAAAGAATACAAGTGCACAAAGTCTGCTATGATTCCATTTGAAAAAATGCATTCTAATAACAATACATCTTTTATACACTAAATAAAGTAACAATTATGCAGTGATCCTGTACAGCAATGGTTCCTAACATTTTTTACTTGAGTACTTTTTTAGAATCAATTTCAATGGCAAAGCCGAGTACCCTATGCCTTACAAGTTAATGATCTTTATAATTACTGTTACAAAGTGGAGAAAGAGAGGTAGCAAGGGAACGTAAAGCTAAGAGATATCTAAACAATTACACAATATCCATGCAATGAAATTATATTTTTTAAACCAAAATTTATTCTCCTTGTTAAAACTGACGAATGTCCAATCATACAGGGAAGCAGATGTGTGCAGTGATCACCTTTTGTGAAACAACTAAAGCTAGAAATGAAAACAGCTGCTAAAAACATGAATAAGAAAGGACAGTCAAGACTTCACAATGAAAAGTAAGATAAAAGTTTCAGATTGAGCTAAAAAACAGACCTGATGCATTTAATTAGGCAGGGAGATCCAAACAGTGACATACTAACTGACGTAGTGACCAGTTTTGGAAAGATAAACAATTTGTGAAGAAGTTTTAAAAAAAAAAGTAACGTAAAATCTTGGATGAGTGATGTACCACAAAACTTACCTAATTACAAAAAACAAACAGGTTAAACTGGTTACATACCAAGTAAAGGACTATCAATTTAAAGTTTTTTTTTTTTTTTTTTACGGAATCAATGGACACAAGGAAGTGGTGCAAACTTAGTTTTTTACACTTAAAAAGAGATGTTTGTGCATCACTTGATCTTGAGGATGCATACAATAATCAGATATATTTTGAATCAAATCTGCACTCATGAAAAAGGGAGTCTGTCCCTGGCTTGTGAACTGGATAGCAGCTGTCCTGCATTCGTGTATGGTTGCATTTCACCTAGGTACATGGGCCTCAAAACCATGTAATATCACCCCGGGACTATACTAGGGTTCTATAATTTCACCAGTGCTGTTTACTTTTTATACAAGTAAGATTGCAGAACTTGAATTACCAGGTGTTGAAAGGATATTAACATTTGCCAATGATGTTCTTGCATATAGGTAGGGGAGGGATAGGCAGGACAGCCCAAGAGCTACAGGCAACTGTAGACAAAGTGACAGACTGGTGTGCAGAAATGGGTGCTGTCATCAATTCAGAAAAGGCAGCTGTTTTATGGTGCTCTTTGGACAATAGAATTGTATGAGCTGATATTCCAAGCCTCACATTTATGACAATAACATCAAAAGAGAAAGCAAACTGAGATACCTGGGTATAATTTTCGATAGAAGCCTGTCCTTCAGGGATCATGTAGTGGCAGTTGCGGAGAAATGCCAATAAGGACTCAATGCTCTCAAGATTATGGTAGCAATGGACATGGAACAAAGAACTTTGTTCACAATGTTTCAGCATGTGATCCTGTTGGTGATAGATTTTGGACTTGGACTGCTTACCATATCAAAGAGTCAGCTGGTGAAACTTGAATGCATACAGAATAAAGTCATGCGGGTAATTCTGGGATGTACAAGAGATACACCGGCAGTATGTATGAGACATATACTTGCAGTGCCTTCTATTGCTGATTGGTTCATTCTCCAAGCAGTCATATCTCAGAGAAGCTGCAAACCAGAACCCCTCCTGCATGAAGCCCTGGGTACAGCTAAGGGTCACAGAATGAAAAGAGGAAAGTCTTGGATGGCGCTAGCTGAAGACATAAATGGGCATGTGTGCAGGGTCGATAAATTTAAGCAAGGAGAGAAGTGGGTCAAAGTTTCCGACTTGTGTAGGGTTCTAATCACCTTGAACCGTGAGTGCAGGGACTGGCCAGCTGGTGTTGCAGAATCAAAAGTTCAATAAATGATTCATGACAATCTCTCCCCCGATGTGATTATCTATACAGATGGCTCTGTGTTGAGAGGCAGACAAAGTGCATGGGGGGTTCATAGCAAAAGCAAATGGACGTTGCTTAGTGCAGCAAAGCCTGGCATAATTTTTTACAACATCTAGTTTGAGAATGGAGGTGAAGGCAGTCACTGCTGCATTCAGATGGCTTGACAATCAGCTGTACACACATGTGATTGTAACTGACTTGAAGAGCATGTTGAAAAAGACAGGCATGCTTTGTGCAGAGTGGCGAGCATCACTTCAAAGGTCCCGGGTAGTTAGCATCCTTTGGATATTTTCTCCAGGTTATGCCGGTGTGTTGGGAAATCAGCAGAAGGTTGAATGCCCGGTTCTGCACCGCTTGGTGGTGAACTGATTTACGACAAGCTGGATGTTGTGAGGGCTCTTTGGGAGTGATTGAACAGTGGAAAGGCACAAATAGATCATTTAGGTCTAGGGATAATGGCGCTGTAAGGAGTTACAAAGGGATCTGGCTGGCTTAGGGAAAAGGCAAGACAGATATACAATCAGACAGGTACTGGTGCCATTAAAACTAGAATTCATCCATTGCTGCTGAAGAGCGGGACGGAGTGCTTATGGAAGTGTCCCGAGTGCTGTGGTGTTGATTATGAATTCAACATTCATCCATACCCAAATTCAGTTTATCCAAGCCCATCAGGCTTCTAGGATTAAAGGTTGAGGAATCAAATAATACATATCTATAAGCCCTCTAGCAAACATGTCATTAAGGGCAACTAATTAGGGCTTCACTGAAAATGGATATTTTAGGCCGAAAGGTGCAGATATCACATTCTAGATGTAAACCACAACACAAAGTGCCAACAAAACATTTTCAGGAGAATGCAGAAGAAGAAGATAAACCAAACTCTGAGATTATATCTATCTATACTCTCTTCATGTCACTGTTGACACATAAGGCATTCAAAAGTGATCTCCATTGCTGCTTTTCTGCCCATGGTATCCCATGTCTGTTTACATTCCTTCATTTCCCATTCTTTTTGTCATTCTCCAGGTTTTCTTAGGTCGTCCAGGTCTCCTTTTCCCATCTGCTATCCACTGGAGAGCTGTTTTTGCCAGTGTCACAAGGCATTCTGCAAACATGTCCAAGCCATCCCCACTGACTTACTTTGATGTTGCCAGTGAAGTACATTATGTTTTCCTACTCAGTTCCTTATTTGTGATCTTGTTTGGCCAAAATATTTCCCCTTAAAGATTTATTTTGGAAAGTCTGAAGTTTATGTGTAATTCCTGCTGTCATCTTCTAACATCCTTTTGAATAATAGTATTCCTAAAATGCTCTTGGATATTGGAGTTTTTGATCTTAGAATAAGATTATATAAAAAGAAGTAAAAATATTTATTTAAAAAACCCACATACAATCATCGGAAACAATGATTTTGTCATATTTATATAGATTCAAATTTTTTTATTTAAATATGCAGAAACCATGAGTTTTGGCTCGGTACTATAGATACCGCAACCCTTCGGTCGTGATTCCATGATAGATATCGTAAATCTGACTTCGCGACGACCGCGTGACGAACTCCATGTGGTCCGGGTTTATGTTCGGAGGTAGGCAGAAAAGCCCCAATTATACAATGAACATCATAATTTGTAATGTGGTCTTTGTATATGCCAAGAAAAAAAATGTTTAAACATGTTTTAAAAAACTAGAATTAGCAGAACTTAAGTATTTTCATTTTCAAAGCGTGGGTTAGCAAGTGGATTAATTTCCTATTTGTTTGAAATTAAATCAGTGCAATACAATTTGTATGTGAGTTCCCTAAAAATTACTACTTTTGACCCCTAAATCTACAAGAATAACAAAAACTCGGGCTTTAGTTCTTATGCAGCGGCTGTTAAATGAAGAAGGTAATTCTAGTGATTCCTAATTTCTGATAATGATGTCGATGATAACACTGATCGTGAATATCAACCACCTGCTGCAAAACATGCCAGACCAAATGGTAAGAGGAAAGGTCAGATAGATAACACAGCTAGATCTAGAACTATCCATAGCACTGCTGCTATTGATGAATCTAAGCTGGAATCAGACATGTCACACAATCCAAAGTATTAAGATGAACTTTCTCAAATAGAGACTAGGAGATGCACAACTAAATAGAGAAGGTATGTGGATTCTTAGAATCCGCGTTGATGATCAAGTAAAAAAGTCAGATAATTACAAAACTTCATGTGTATCTCACATCACTGAATGTGGTGTCATTTTAATACTTTGTTGTTGCAATATGTATTCTGTATTATTTTTCTTTAATTTTACATATTTTATGCAGCCAAAACTTTTCTTCAGGAAGGCTTTAGCTTTGTCATGTTGCAGTAAGAAAAATGTCCAAACCCCAGACAAAACTCTATCCCAAAGAAGGAGTTAATAAGACGACTTAATAAGAGCGATGAAAGGTACTCCAGGAATAGGAAGATCTAAACAACCTACTTTATGTGGATGATACAATATTGATAACTGAAAACACACATGATTTGCAACTTTTGGATATCATAGTAAACGGAGGCATCAAGAAAAGGAATTCTTAAATATAGTTTCATCTGCACAAAAATATTCAATCATTATTATCTAGAAACACGGCACTGGCAGTTTCTCACTTACATCTTTTGTTGCCTTGCTCATAAGCAACTAATCCATGCCTATGGAGTTCTCTAAGTTTCTTATGGCTGCCTCCAGTTGGTAGATGAGCTATAGAAGCTACCAGGGCAGCAGGAACTAACTCATGATTTCTCATTCCCAACTCAACCTGAAGAAACAAAATGGTTATATTTTATATCCCCAATTATAAATAAAATAAAATATAAATAAAAGACTATGAAATTAAATTGTTTGGGTCATAATTTCAAAAAACTGACACTCTTCTAATAAGTTTAATTCTGATTACAGGTAAAAAAAAAGTAATGTTTTTTGAACATATTGATAAGCCTATACAGTTTGTCCCCCAGGTTGTTCAAGGCAAGAACAGGACTTTTAAAGTTCTGTGTATTATTGAACGCTAAAAGAAATATACCTTGGCACCTGAAGTTCTTTAGGTGGAACACATCATGGTCAGTGGAGGGGCAGGGGCTGACCGACACGAAGATAGGCACAGGATATAAGTGACTCCTAGAGTGTAAAAGTGCGTGAGGCGGGAGAACTGGCGAGAGACCAAGTTTCTTTCAGGCAGACTGTGATGAGTGCGATGTTCTGCAAAGGACCTGCTACATGATGATGATCCAAGTATCAAGGAGGGAGAGGGGAAGCAAATAGGAGATGCACACTTGAGAGAAGGATATATTGTGAAACTCCCCTCGTCCACTTTTTTTAAAGTGACCTGCAGCAATGTGAAAACTATAAAGGAATTATGTTGCTGTCAGTTCCTGGATGTTAAGAAGGCTTATTCTGGACAGTATGATTGACTTGATGAGTATGCCCCGGAAAATAGAGAAGGACTTGAGCCGAAGACTGGTCAGTGGCTCTACGAGGAAATGAGCAAGCTGATAGACTTGCATGTAAGGCTACTGTGAAAGCCGGACAAGCCATGGACCAGGCTGATATACTGAATGCTCTATGAAGATTTAAGACATTTGCGTGAACCAACTGAGAACTGAATCTGCAACCATAGTCAGACTGCAAGAAGAGCAGGCTAAACGGGATGTCCCCAAACAAGAACACTCCACAGGTAGCCAAACAAGAATAATAAACCAACACAGAACTGGTGTCGTCAGCCGCTATACGCTGTAGGATTTACTGAGAAGAGGATCCAAGAACTTATGGACTGAGTGGTTCAACGTGCAATAAGGATAATCTGTCAACTAATTAACTAAGACTAAAAAATGTTACTGATAAAAAGCTAAGAGATCAGGTAGGCTGCCTGTCAAACAGAAAACTAACAGATACGTGAAACAAGAGCAGGTGTGTGACAGGGATGTCTTTTGTTGCCTCTACTATTTTTACTAGAAACCGATTGGATTATGGCAACAGCTACCACCAGAAATGGAATTCAGTGGACAGCTTGAGAACCTAGACTTGCTGATGATATTTTTTTTGGATATCCCATTCGCAGAAGCAGGTGACAGATAAATATACTTGATGCGAGATCACAACAGTAAGGTTTAAAAATTCATAAGGAAAAAAAACAAAGAAACAGAATAGACCCAGCACACAGCAGTCTTAATTTCTTTTAATGATATCCCATCCCAAGATGTGGAATCATACACCTATTTGGGAGTAATGTAGATGACGATGGGGGAACTAATATGGATTTTTAAATATGAATATAAAAAGCTTGAGGAGTATTCACAGTACTAGGAAATTTGTGAAAGCCAAAGGAAATATAAAAACGAATACTGTATCGAACAGAAACAAATACTAATTAACTATACAGATTCATTTCCTAGTGCCTGTGCACTAACAGAGGGAATTAAATGGTGTGATAGAATCATCAATGTTGAGTTCTGGGACAGAATTAAATCAGTAAACCAAGAGGAAGAAAATATGCTGACAATGGATAGGAAAGACTGAGAAAATTGTATATTCAAAGATCATCTTCACCACACATGACCATAAGTGCTCCGATCTCTTCCTGAGAATGTCTTTAGGTGTTTTTAGGCTAACAACTCCCAGTCCATTCTGGCTGATTAAGGACGGGTGGCTCTCACATGATTTTTCTGTCTCAGTGCTCCAATTAGGATACCTATGTTATGCGGTCATTTCAGTGAATACAATCTTGTATCCAGTGCCTTGGGGCAGTCACTCGTACAGTAATAGCTGATTAGTTGGAAATCTGTGTTTTCTGTCTTGAGATTAAGAATATGGTACTCCACCCCTTCCATGTATGTTTTAGTCTTGTGTGCAAATATGTTATCTTTGACTAGGGTCAGTATTCCACTCTTCCTTCTGTCTTTTCTATCAGAGCAGTACCATTGGTAGCCTCTGATCTTAAAGGCTATGTTTTGTTTGAAGTACGTCTCCTGAAGGCAGCATACGTGTATCTGTTCTTTATTCAAGGTGTTTTCAAGTTCTAATTTTTTACTTTTTAACTACCCATGTGTTTCAGTGCATGATTTTGAGACAAGATCTATTCATAGATTTGAATATATTTCCTTTAGTGTTTCTGCGTGGCATCTCTTTACAGTCCGCCTCCTGGCTGGTTGCCTCTGACTTCAGCACCTAATTTTAATTATTCTGGAAAGCTAGATCGACGTACTGGCACATGGGAATGAACTATCCACCCTCATATGTGTGTACGTATGTAAATAGGACTATGGCATCATAGGCATCATTTTTGCATCAAGTTTGTATTTAACGCCGACATAGCATTGTTGTGTTGTTGACCATTATGATGTGTCCGGTGCTGTCTGACGACCTTGACTATGAACTTACATCAAAATGAAGGTAATCGGAAACACGGTCCTGTTAGAAACACTTTTGCAATCTTCTGGCAGTCATTATTTCATAAAAAATACAGGTTACATACAAGGTAGACTGTGATATTGTCTCCTCCGCGTCTTAGCTGGTTCCTAGAGGTTTGTTCTTATTGAAGAAATAATTGCTACTCTAGGTAGACACAGGTGGTACGCGAAGACGATATCTCAATAATATACTTTATTACAATTTCACATATGATATTGTCTCTTCCGCGTCTTAGCTGGTTCCTAGAGGTTTGTTCTTATTGAAGAAATGTATGATACTCTAAGTCAGGGCTATTCAACTAAGTTGGCTTAGGGGCCAACAGGTTAAAAAACTGGGAACGTCAAGGGCCAGAGGCCTCAGCAACGGCATAGACAGATCAAAAATACAAAACAGCTAGAATTTATCCGCGGGCCACTTGCTAGGCCTTAGCGGGCCATATTTGGCCGGCAGGCCGCTAGTTGAATAGTAGACACAGGTGGTACGAGACGACGATATCTCAATAATATAGTTTATAACAATTTCACATATCATTTGCCCAATTTTTTTGAACCATTGTAAATAAGTGGGACTCACAAGCAGCAGCTTCCACATCTCCTGCAGCTTTGCTCGTGAGTCTCAGCCATCTAGTTTAGCGCCAATCCATGCCGTGTGAGCAGCGTGGGGGATACTCTCAGCGGTTATTCGGAGGATAGCCGTATTGGCTTCAACTAGTAATCATATGTGGATTTTCACAAATAATATTTCAGCTATCCTCCGAAGAACAGGGCACAAAAGATGGCGGCTGCAAAATATCCGTATGAGCCTCAGTCACGTGTCAACTGCGCACTTCCTGCGACTTAATATGCAGTTTTCCTGCGACTACTGCCACTGCCACGAGTTCCCCACACCGCTCACACGGCGTGGATTGGGGCTAAACTAGATGGCTAGGACTCACGAGCAGCAGCTTCCGCATCTCCTGCAGCTTTGCCCGTTATTCAGAGGATAGCCAATATTTCTTCTACCTACACTTTTTAGCAAGGTGAACCCGATAGCTCTTAAGTATTTTAGACTCCTTTTTGAAATGTTAATACTGCATTGTGATTTAATGTTTTTAGTTGATTTGTCTCTCAAATTTTCAAGATCTCATTTCTAATGACATCTACATCAAAGTCGTCAACTTTCCTTTTCCTTCCTTGCTTGACATTAGTGTACTCTGTGTACTGTCTAATCCAACGGTTAAATGATGCTTTATCCAGAAAACCGCCAATCATGTTCGTTTCTCTGGGTCATGAACATGAATATCACAATATAAATAATCCATCTTAGATTTATTAGGAAATGGTATAGTAAAACTGTAACCTTCTGCAGTTATAAATTTGCATCTTAAATTCATTTTGAAACTGATGTCTATGTCAGCTTTAATAAGCTACCTGGTTATTCTCCGAATAACGGGTGGTAAAGATGGCAGCCGCAAAATATCCTTTCCAGCCACAGTCACGTGTCAATTGGGCACTAGCGGTCACGAGCAAATCGCGGGAAAACTAGGATTAGTGTCTGTTGACAATTTCGAGAAACAGAACAAACCGCTGAGTTAAACTTGCCGCCGAGAGTCTCCCCCGCGCCGCGTAGATGGGGCTAAACTAGATGGCTGGGACCCACGAGCAGCAGCTTACTCATCTCCTGCAGCTTTGCTTGTGAGTTCTAGCCATCTAGTTAAGCCCGAATCCACGCCTGTGAGCCACTCTCATCGGTGGCCATAGTCGCCGCAAAAGCAAGCCACAGGTGACTGAGGTTCTGTTTTTGGCGGCCATTCAGCGGCATCTTTTGTGCGCGTTATTCTGAGGATAGCCGGTTTGTGGATGCTACTAAGAGAAGGTGCGTTACCAATCTGGTACGAGGCGCGCCTTGTTCTGATCGTACTTAGCTGAGTTTGAATAGCATAACAGGCACAAACAGTAACAGCAGATTTTCATGTATTATTTACAACTTCTGTGCCATAATTTTAAGGTATAAATTTAAAGGCATAAAATTATTGTTAAGTAGTCGATTGATATAACATTTTATTCGTTCCTTATTTGACTTCAATTTTTGATTGTTTACAAAACATGACACAGGCTCGAAAGGATATTGTGCGGCCGCCATCTTTACCGCCCGTTATTCGGAGGATAGCCAGCTACCTATAGTATTAGCATAGTATACCACACAATAACTCGACACTAATTTGTGGATGCCCCTTTGACTAATTTCTAAAACAACCTTGACCGACGTCTTATTTCGGCGTCAGGTCACTAGAGTGAACAAGAAAATCATGAAATTACGTAGGGTTTCCCGGCTTCTTTAACGCAAACAAACCAGTCTTACTAAGACTGAAACTAATGAAAATAGTAAGTTAAGTAAGTAGTACTAGTATAGTATTCGTTAAATTAACTATAGCTATCAATTAATTAAATATACTTTCACTTACCGCAATAAGAACTCGGAAGTCCTCTTTGGTTAAATAACGAAGAACGTTTACATCAAGCTTGCCCATTTTCAGAGACAAAATATTTGACTCTTTTCGACAAACAGCGTGCGCATTTTATTTTATGTATAACATGTGCTGGTGCTAAGCTGACTCAGTGGTAACAGTCAGTGTTGCCACTTTTCTTTGACAAAAAATATCCAAAACGGTGTCAAAAAATATCTAAAAAGATCTAAATCTGCGTGGAAAAGATCTCGAAAAAACATCCAAATTGAAAAAGTCAAAAAATTACACAGCTTTTGTTATGACTTACCCTACATAATCATGTCCTCACCTTCACTGATGTCTGCCTCACAAGATCCACAGAATAAACTTAGCTTGGATAATGAAGTTGAAGCTTCAGATCCAAAATGACCCTGGTATGCTTTAGCTGTTCAAATTTCTTTATAAGTGGAACAGTAGGCTTATTTCTCTAGTCTCATCAGGCCGAATTTTAATGGCACGATAGCATTTAAGAGGTCACATTTCATCCTGTTTTTTAGGTTAGATTTGATATAATTCCTAGCACTGAAAACTCTTTCTACGTCAGCATTTGAGTGGGGTAGTATCATGGCAGACATGGCACTTTAAAGAGCTTACAGAATGGACTGTTTGATGAGGCATCTTTAAATTGTCTCACTTCACTCCAAAACGCTTTAGTTTCTGTTTTGTTTGTCCATTCAGCTAACTTTTTGTTTTTGGTTAATTGATATTCGGCTTCCGCGACACTATTATCAGTAGCCCCTAAAAATTTCATAACTTTACAATACTCAGGTATGTCCTTTATTGGCTGAAGTATGTTGCTCACAGAAAAAAGTGAAATATTTTTCAAAACATCTAGATTTTCAGGAAGTCTCTGCTTCAATTGCTTCAATAATGAGATAAGGAAATCTTGACAGCGTTTTCTTAAGTTGTTCTCTTCATTCTCTGTTAACAGTCCTTTAGTTTTTAAACCATCATCATTTTTGATTCGATTTAATATCCAAGGTGTGGCTTAGGAGCCAAAAAGCTCTCTATAGTGCAAGTGAGCAAATCAGCTTTAGAAGTTGGCAACACCAGTCTTTTACTGAGTGAAATAGCAAGGTGAGATCATCAAGTAATTTACTTTATCAACAAGTTTAGATTCGAACAGTTTATTAACTTTTTGCACTTCCATTAGAATAGGTTATAAAAAGATAATGAATGACACATTTTTTTCATCACTGTACATTCCATATAGTATTTCAGCGGTGTAGCATTTTTCACTTTGTCTTGTTATTTCAAAGTGTGTCTTCAACTTCAGCCATTGCTTCATAATTCTTGCAACAGCTGGTTAAATTGATAACCATCTAGTTTTGCAATCTGACAGAATTTTCGGTGGTGTGGAACCATCATTCAAGGCTGTATATAATGTATGGTATTGCTGTTGTCTGACAAATGATTTAGAAAACCAGTAAAGTGTTTCAGCAATAAGGTATTCCAAATTTCTTGGTAAATATTTAGATGAAGCATGTGATAATGCTAGCTGCAATTAATGACGCATACATTTTATAAGTATTAACGATGGGTTAGCTTCCTTCAACTTGGCATAAACGCCATTGTTTATACCAACCATCACTGAGGCATTATCAATACCAGTTACAGCCAAATTCTTCAAGCCTAACTGTTTGCTGATTAAAAGGTCCTTCAGTTCCTAAACTATACTTTCTACACCACACTTTTCAAATTGAACTAGTCCAAGATTTTTTTTACAAATCCATCAAATGGTCACAATTTAAAATTGCGCAGTGACAAATTAAAAACATTGCTACTGATACTTCAACTTTTGATGATTCATTTATCATTATAGTTCTAAAAACAGATGTCAGCGGTGTAATATCTTTAAATGAAACTGCATTTTTATGCTTTTTTAGTCTCTGCATGGCTCTTTGAGTTTTGTATTTTCGCTTTAATTTCACACTTGCAGTACTTACAACAAGCTTTGGTCATATCCCCAGTTTTCAATTTTGTCATCATGCAACCACTCTTTCCAAATTTTTTGCTCATACTTTACTTTTGGCATGTTGAAAGGTTTTTTTCAAAGTGAAAGCCACATAAGAAGGTGAGCAATTATTTTTTTAAATCACATGAAGAAGAAACGCAAAGTCAGCACAGTGAGGATACGGTTGAAACAAAGTTAGTATGATTTACGCACGTTTTTATTAATCAGTACCGGGGCTGCCAGATATTTGTGCGTTGACCCCAGTGAGAGTTCAAAGTTCAAGTAATGGCAGTTGTCACAATGTACGTGCCAGACCAAAACAAAAATATTGTAGTAAATATTTTACACAGTAATTATTAAATTGACAATGAAAGAAAAAAATCTAAAAAATATCTAACTATATATGAAAAGATTCTAGAAAAATATTTACGATCTAAACGTCAAAAACAGTATCTAAATGCAATGAAAAAGATCTAAATTTGGATATAAAAGATCCAAAGTGGCAACACTGGTCAAAGTCGATGACAAAATATTATCGACATTCAGTACTGTGAAGTGTAAAAAGTACAATCGCAATGTACGAAACAATTTTGTTTTAATGAACCACGGTGAGCAGGTGGAGAATAACACCTGGAAGAGAAAGCACACATACACATTTCTCAGTGCTCAAACTATAAAATTTCAAGCATCTCTTGAACTTAAAATCCCTTGCAATAGAACATTACTGAAACGTCGACGTTTCGGAGTGACTTATTTCACTGTTACAGAAGACATTGACTCTGAATATCAGACACACATTAATAGTTCAATAAATAATACCAATGTTTTTTTATTTTTTGGCGACATACAACGTTTCATGCAGGGCCTATGCCACGAAGAAAACATCGGGGGGAGGGGCCTCGGTGAATTAAAATTTGTTAAAAAGAGAGCCGGAAATGGCCTGACAGCACTCAAGGTGGTAGTCGCTGCTGATATTGAACATCTTCTTTGCCTTCTCTATCAAGGGCTGGTGTTAAGCGTCATTGACTATAGTCTGGGCCTCCTTACTGTCAGCAGAGCCCAGGCAGAACGACTGGATAGAGTACACAATGAGGCCATGAGACTCATACACGGATGTACAAAAGACACCTATGTGTACTTGGTTTTCCGACGATGGCTAACAGACACAAAGTTGCACACATTAAGGCGTACATGAGGGTATGGGCTGACACCCACTGCACAAAGCTATACATGGCACAGAATGAATGCGTCTTAGAAGAGGCCGCTCCTGGATGGCAAAGGCTGAATATTTAATCCAGCACGTATGTGACCTAGACAAGACCAGTCACGGAAAAGAATGAACGAATACGCCAGTAGTTATGCATGGCATCTTTAAAATTGTCATCACACTTGGAAGGTACTGCAGGGATCAGATTCCTGAGCCCGTAGACATAAAGGTAAGTGCATTGATAGATCAACCTCATACTCAGAAGACATAATCATCTACACAGATGGATTCCTGAAGCGTGGATTAAGATCACCATAGGCATGCACAGTACACAGGATGGGGAAAACAATAGAGAAGGTCAGCGGCGTTTACCAGGCAACTACGACAAGCATGACCATGGAGGTAGCCGCTGCTTGTATAACACTAGCATGGGTAGCAGAGCAAACAGCCACACATGCAGTAATTGTATCAGATACCACGAAAATGTTTTAGTAAGTAGCAACCGGCAGTATACGCTCTGTATGGGTAGAAAGCATTCGAAAATCGCACTTTACCTTCCTTGCATGGATCTACATACCTGGTCATACTGACGTACAGGGTAATGAGCGAGCGGACCAATTGCAAGCGTTACACCAACGCATGTGGGAAGAAGCATGATCAGAGAAGATATCATCAACGCTGGAAAAGTGGATAATGACGAATCTCTGACTCTAACAGAATTGCGTGACATAGGAGTAAAGAATGGTGAAGCAAGTCTATGCCGCCTTCAAGGCCGATATAGGAGACATTATAACGAACCTCTCATGGGAACAATTAGTAGAAGTATCTTGGAGTGGCTACTACATCGGAGGACTAAGCACGCATGAGAATGTCCAATCTGCAGTGACGTCGGTTGCTATAAATTATCATAACATAACACAACATAATATAACAAGTAGGACTGTACCGAATAGTGATTTTCACTATTCGGCCGAATACGAAAAACGGAACCAACTATTTGGCCGAATACGAATACGAATAGTGTATTTAAAAAAAAAGTAGTACAGAATAGTCTACTTCTTTAGCATTCTGAGCCCTTGAGGTTTACTGCTGCAGAAATCACTCGTCTCCATCCATCTCTCTGGCTGACCTTCTCTTCACAATTTGTTACACAAGTTTTGTGCAGGTCTGGCTGGACATTATCTCTCGAACTTTTTTTTTTTTTTTTGGGGGGGGGGGGGGGGGGTCTGCCTCGTGGTCTACGCCCCTTCCTCTCTCAGGTGTATATAGTTTTGCTTATTTGTCATCTGACATTCTTTTAAAATGCCCCAACCATTTTAGTCTGTTAGCTCTCATGAAGCCAGTGATCAGTGGTGATTTAAACAGATTGCGTGTTACGTTGTTGCTTCTCACTCTCCATTTCCCGCTGTTAGCATCTTTGATGGGTCCAAAGATTTGTCGTAAGACTTTTCGAAAACCTGTAATAAGGCCTCATCTCTTTTACTTCTGCTTCAAATTTTAGAGCCATAAAAAACGACTGGTCTAACCAACGTTTTATATATTTTGATCTTTTGACAGACACTTTGACTTTAGCAGATGTTGAAGGGCATAGTATACTTTATTTCTAGATTGTATTCTAGATTGTATTTCTTCTCTCAGCATGTTGGAGCAGTTGAAGTTTGCCCCCAAGTACTTATATATTTCCGTTCGTTTGATTTTCATATTATCGACTGGGATGTGGCCAGAGTTTACATTCTTTCCATGTCTAGTTAGTATTTGTACAGAATAGTAAACATTTGAAAACATTTTATGTTTTGCATCCTTCAGTCAGTCTGTGGTAACTAATAACTAGGAATGAAAGAATCCTAAGTATTATAACAAGTA